GGGAGAGTGAGGTGCTCTTTAGTTCAGGGAAAACATCTTAATGAGTTTCCCTTCAAGTTTATTTCACTTTTTTTATTTGTAAGAGGGGTCGCCTAATAGGCAAGGTTTGAAACAAAAGGAGTGAGACAAAGAAAGAGAAATTGTTCTGCCTCAGAAAGGAAAGGGTGTGTGGAGGCCTCTTCCTGGCTGCTGGGAGAAGGGGAAAAAGGGAGTTTTGAGGACACTAAAAAGAACTTTTGGGAAAGGCAGTGGATGTAGAGACCTGTGAGGAGATGAGAACTGTATGACCGCTTGTATTCAGGCACTTCCTGTGCTTTGCTCCAAGCCACCACCCCTGGCCCCATTACTACCCAAACCTCAGTAGCAACTGCTACTCATAAAACCCTAGGGTTAGAGATGCTTTGGGAGAAAGGAAAGGGATGTCCGATGCAGAGGTGAGGAAAAGGGACAGAGAGGGGACAGAGGCACTGGAGATGAGGCACTGACTTGGGGGCACTGAGAACACAGCAGGAGTGTGGGAATGAGGCAAGAAGTGCCCAGGAACAAGCCAGCCTCTCAGATGCACTGGCAGGGAGACCTGCTGGCTTCCCACAACATGTGGGCTGGGGGCTGGAGCCATTGGAGGTGCACACTGAGCAAAGCTGTGACTCCAAAGTGCAGAAAATTTGGAGATATCTGAGCAATGAAAGGAAGAGAGGGGGGGGAGGGAGGGAGGGAGAGAGAGAGAGAGAGAGAGAGAGAGAGAGAGAGAGAGAGAGAGAAAGGGAGGGGGGAAAGGAGGTTTAAGGGTCTTCGATGGTGCTTCTCAAATTTAAAGGGTATACAAGTCTCTTAAGTTCTGTTAAAATGCGGGTAAGTGATTCAGTAAGTCTGGGTGGGGCCGGAGATGGTGCGTTTCCAACCGGCTCCCAGGAGACACTGCTGCTGTGGGTCCAGAGACTAAACTTTTAGTAGCAAAGCTTTAGCCCCAGAAGCTCCTGCACCCATCTGGGAGTGTCTGCACAGGCAGTCCCTTACCTCGTATTCCTCCTTGAACCCGTAGCCCTGGCCTCTCTTCATCTGGGTGATGTGCTGCAACAGATCAGCCACTCGGATGGCCGGCTGGAACTGGTCCCGGGGATAGCTCATCTCCATGGGGTCGCAGGCCCGGTAGGGGTGGGTCTGGATGGTGAGGGTGGGCTGGGACAGCTCTCCGCGGCTGCCATCTGCTTCAAAGAGAAGAGGCAGAACAGACCATCACCTATGGGAGTTTTGCCCTCGGTCCTCTGTGCCTTCCCTAGCGGGACCTGAGGAGGCCAGAGGGAACTAACTCATGATTCAGCTAATAAAGAAATCAGAGAAAGAAAAGAGACACATTGCTTCCTGGGCATGGCTGTGGGGGTAGACTGAAAAATTAAATCAACAAACCAACGTGTGAACACAACAGCCCTTAGTTCATTCCATCTCAAGGGTGCATATCGATGGAGTAAAGACCAAGTCCAGGTTGGCTGCCATCGCCGCCCTATCTCAGGCCTTCCTTGAGGCTCGTCAGGGTGGTGTTGGCCAATCCTGGCCAATATCAGAACCACCGAGAAGCCAGGCAGGCTAGATACTGGGAGCGCCCTTCTGTTTAGGAAGCAGGGTGCCTGCCTGCAAAGCCTCAGGGTCCTGGAGACCAGGGCCACGTGTGTGTGTGCTTCGGATCCACCTGCCTGCATCCCCGGGACCCGGTGTCTCCACCAGTTTGTCTCTGTTGGGTGGTACCCTGGGAGGAAGGAACTGGAGCCCCAGCCACAGCAGGGGCCCTGACCTCTCAGTTGCTCTCCAGCTGTGGGCTCTACAGCAGTGACCACTTTCGGCCTCCTGTCTAGCTTCCCCACCACTGAACACTCTTGCTCCAGGAGGCTCACGGAACCCACCTTGCAGGTAGGGAGGCCCGAACTTCCTCCTTTAGTTCTGCCCTTCACCTCTCCCAGGCCTGGGTCCTAAGTCTCATTATCTCCTTCATATCATCCCTCCTTGATAAACGATCTCTATTTCCCCCTGGTAATAATCCTTACACCCACTGCATTGCTCTAACTGTCCTCTGTTCTTTGGCCACCCTGGGAACCGATGCCTGCTGAGGTTGGATTTGAGATTCTCTGTTCCCCTTGGACAACCACCTTCTAGTCCTACCCCCTCACTGCTTGGCATTCCTTGCTGGTCTTTCCGGGCTGGTGTATCTTCCCCAGAACCTCTGGGGTTGGTTTGCCCAACCTTTTCCCAACGACATGGACAGTCTATGCCCTAGACCTTCTGTCTGTGGCATGTATGAGACGAGAAGTCAGATTTAATGTATCTCAGCCAGGTGTGTTCAGGCTCAGCCAGGCACCCCAGCAAGACCCCCCTAGGCCTATGCCATGCCTATTCCCTGGGTGGCTTAACATATATTCCTGATTTTCTGGAACTTGTCATTTCAAAAACCACGTTTTCTTTAGCTTAGTTGTGCCTCATGTCACAATAGCCCATCAGACATTGACTCTGCACGTGAAGGTGAGCTCTCCTTCTGTGTGGCAGCCTGAGAAACACTGTTCCCAGGAAGGAAAGAATTGCCAACATAAAGATCTAGTTTACAGCTTTCTGCACAAGGAAGAAGGGTCTAGGTGAGATGTTAGCACATAAAAATACCGATTACGTTTTCTCCGGGGATTTTAAATAACAGGGAACACATCCTCACTGGCATTGCTTAAACGCAGTGCTTGGCGAACATGGGGGCTCCTTCCCTTCTCTATCCATCGCACTCTGTGATGGGGAGTTAGAATTACTGGGAACCCACTCTATGCCAGGGACTCAGGTTGGCACTGGCCGTGCACAGAGCAATGCAGATTCCACCCTCAAGTCTTGATGATCTAGTAGGAAAACAGACAAGAACAGGAGCCGGAGAAGCCAGGTGCTTTTAGGTAAGAGCAAGGAGGTGGACAGGGAGTGAAGGCGGTGGGCAGAAATGTGATGGGACGAAGCTGTGAAATGGTGTGAGGGCCCGTCTAGAAAGGCCGTGAATGTGCAAGCATCTCCAAGCCAGTGGGAAGCTGTCGGAGGGTTTGAAGAGGAATCCTTCTTTAAGGACTCCCACTACTTCGTGTAGGGGTCATGCTGTCATGTCAGCTGCCATGGACATGAGGCATCTTGGGAGCACCACTCCTGTGATGGACTGGGAGGGGGCGGGAGTTGGGGATGGAGAAGCAAGGAGTGCCTGAGCTTGCTCCTCTAGATTCTGCCCTGCTCCCAGGAGAGGCGGAGCTGGAGCCCGGTGAGTGTCCCCTACCTAAGCCCCCATCCCCAGATGCCTTCAGAGACCCATGGTCTCCCCAAGGACTTGAGGCACGGGCTGCCTGGGAGACCGGCTGCCAGGCAGAGACAGGCTTCTTGGCAATGGGCACCTGGCAATTTTTGTGAGATGCCAAATGTTTCCAAAACCAAAGAGCTACCAATATGAATATTTTCCCTAAACACACGGCTTGACAGACTGTAAACTGGGTGTCAGCAAAACCAGCGCTGCAACGGAAAATAAATGCATTTGAAATTGAGCAACTTGTGTTGCTATAACATTTGTAATAATGTCAATGCTGGAGCTAATGATGCTATGAAGACTCGGAACCAAGGGATTTTCAAGGTTTATTAATTCAACTAGTTGGACTCTTTTTCCAATGCATCCGACCTCACCTATTCCCTTATTAACCTCCGATAATGCAGACGTGCCTTTTATCACACCCCATTTCACCCGACGCACTATACTTAATTTTCCATCATTAGGTTTAATGAAAACCCAATTTCACAACTCACTTCTCTCAGGAACCTACAAGTAATGCTACGTTTTTATCAGCCCCAATTAAAAAGCGTTATGATGTTCCTATTCGAGAGGGAGCCTTAAAACTAATGTGCGATTCTGCTGCTAATTCAAAAGGGTGCTGGAACTCACACACTGCGCGTAAAATGTAACTCAAACCAGCTGGCCCAGGGAGAGGGCATTTTTCATTTTTCATCTCACCAGACCCTTAATTCTCAGGCCATCTCAACTTCTCATTTATGGGTCCTGCATGTTTATTTATCACATAATAATATTTTGGGTTTCTTTTGCCCTTTTCTGCAGCTGTTGCCTTAGCCTGTGCATTCCCTTGCAGTAACTCTAGTCGTTGCCTGTGAGGGGCTGGTGGGGCGGGCAAAGGGATTTTGGTGACATGTCTGAGGTCCCGGGTCACCACCGTGCCCATTCCTCCTTTCTGTCTCTCTACCAGGTCCTCTTTCTTCTTCCTTGGGAGTCTAGCTTTGACCTTCTCTCTCTCTCTCTCTCTCTCTCTCTCTCTCTCTCTCTCTCTCTTTATACCTCTGCTACCAGCCACTATATATCTCCCTCTAGCTTCAGCCACATATTTCCAATTGCTTGCTAGGAACTGCCACTCCAACTGGTTAACAAATATTTACTGAATACCTACATTGTACAAAGCACGGTGTTAGAGCCCGTGTTCACATGGGGGTGGGGAGGTGGGGGGGGGTGTGCTCAGAGGGAGATAAGTGCACCGCAGCCCGAGCAGGAGGAAAGGAGAGATAAGTGTGCGTAAACAAGCCTAACAAAGGCGGGAAGGGACCCGCGTCCAGGAGACGGATGGGAGGATGATGTGCGGCAGAGTTAGGCACCATGGAAACGCTTCCACGCTTTAGGCATTCACCATCCCATCTCTGTGGGTGTGGCCATATCTACGTGCGACCTACATCACCTCTGTCCAGTGGACCTTTCCACGGTGCTGTGCGATATGGGAGCCTCTCACCGCACGTGAAATATGGCTAATGTGACTGAGGGACGGATTTTTAAATTTTGTTTCATTTCAATTAATTTAAAGGTAAATTTCTACATGAGGCTACTGTGTCGGGCCGCACAGATCTAGAGGAAGAAAGAGACAGGGAGATGAGAGCCTTCTGGAGCTACATGGTAGGGCAAAGGGGTCCACTGGAAACATATTGCAAGCCACATGTGTAACTGAAAATTTTCTCGTAGCAACATTAAATAAAGTAAAAAGGAGCAAGAATACATTTTGATTTAACCCAATACAACACATTAATATTTCAACATATAGTCCGTATAAAATTATTGCCGATGTATTTTACATTCTTTATCCTCACATCCACAGGTGTTGTGCTCTCACTCAATGTAATGGCAGATGGAATGAATGAACTTCTCTGACCAAATGCAAAGGGTAGAACTTGTAAAACTAATAGTAAGTACAATGCCACCCACTGTGCCTCGTTTTACGAGGTTGAAATGGACATGATATAATTGGCAACTGACACTCATATACTTTGTTATTTGAAGTAACAGCGGCCTGAAGGATAGATAAAAAGTGTTTTTCTTTTCCTATGTCCTTTCCGGGGCTCAGAATCAGAGGCCCTAACAACCAAATATGAGGGGTTGGCATCTCCAAGCCCTTTCTCCCCTCAGTCCCTTTACGGGGGTCTCCGACGTGGCAACGACAACAGATGATGGATAAAGGCCTTTGTGCCCTGAATGCAGATTCAGTATCAGGAAGACTCTGTGATGGGAACACTCATGGGGACGGTGCCTTCAGGATTCACCTATTCCTTCCAACATATAAATCAATCCTCCATCCTCCTCTCTGTGGAGGGAGCATGCACTCCCCCCCCTCCTCCTCCCCCGCCACACACACAGCACCACATCGGAGGGAAGGATGGTGTCAGACAGGCCATGGGGGGGTGGGGCTGAGAACATCCCTGTGCCTCCTGCCTCAGCCACAAGGAACGGATTCCAACCAGCGAGACAGCGAGGGCAACACTGAGCACCTGCCTGCTCGGTTTATGGTAAATGCGTCCTGGAGTGGTATCTCCTCCTCCTTTAGAGTTAAGTGAACAGAAACAAAACAGCATGGGTCTTAGCAAACCCCCATGTTACAAATAAGGAATAGGACACTCTTGGATGCTGAGAAAAAGACAATTTTCAAAAGAAAAAAGCAGTCAGTGTTGGCTGTCTACCCAACCACCATCTGGTACCTCCTTCCTTGCTGGCAGAGCCCTCAAATTAGTTTGGGTGCCTACATATCCCCATGTGACTGGGGAGGATGACCCTCTTCCCAGATCTAGGGGCACATTCCACTTTACTTGCAGGTGTTCTTATCCTCTTTGTCAAATTTTCAATGAGACAGAAGCTCCTAGGAAAGGTGTCCTTACTTCTATTTTTAAA